ATTTTAGGACATTTTCAAATTTTGCTTCTGAACTTCCTTATTTTCTTAGTGTTGATTTCTTTTCTTTGAACTGACGTTTGTAGTTCACCGTGCATTGCCCCCTGACTATCATGCCCAAAAAGAGGAGCATTGCTTTCACCGCAGATTTCATTATGAGTTAAATTCGGTACTTTACATTACTGTGATGATTGTATGCGGACTACATCTGAATGCGCATGATTGTCACGAACGTGTTTCCTACTTATCTGGCCCACGGTTTCCGACTGATGTTTGCAGCTGGTTCTCTTCACCCCAACCGCAGTAATTTCTATTGTATAAATATCAAGGAGACTCCTTTCATTATTTTGTAGATCAACACATTAGGTTGGTTAGGTTGTAAGATACAATTCTTGATGGTTGCATATGCTATCGGTCTTCATTCCTCCGGATTATAGGCTTATCAAGAAGGATCATCCGGTCTCACTTAGCAAAACAATGTTATGCTATCCTATTTCTAAAATAAATGAGCTGAACGAAGTGCCAGACTTCCAGCTGCTGCCACCTCGAGTAAAAGTTGTATGAGGTCAGCATTCGTCTTCTTAGAAATGGCAAGAATGTCGTTCAGTTTTATAGTGCGGCAGCTCATGACCGGTGTATATATTAGGTTACTTCTGTTTTGCACTCGTCTTCGCAACGTTTTCCAGAGGGACTGTAGCAGTTGTGATTACACCATATGTTACATTTGTTTATGGCACCTGTTACCGACTACTTTGTATTGTTTGTTTAAATTCACGAATTTTGTATCCACATCTTTATCGCGCTCGCGTGGTGCTAGTTTTGTTTGCTGCTGCATGGGTCTTGTGTTGCCACCACGTCTAACCAGTCGTCCAATTTATGTCTTGGAATCGTTAGTCGGCAACTAACATACAGTAATTGAAGGAAGGATTATAGGGTAAGTGTGCTTGGTCGTTCCGCTACTGTGGGGTTTTGTGTGAGCTTACCTTTTGTCTCAGGACTCGAACTTCTTTAGGTAACAGTCCACTACAGGACTTGCGAACAAAAAGGAAGAGGTAGATAGTAGCCTTTTTAACTTACATTCAAGTACCTTTGCCGACTTGCAGGATAATGCGTTTCGATTTATACTATCACAAGATAGACACTAGGTCTTAGCAGATCAACCTGAGGGATCCGAAATATGATGAGAATGGTAGCCTGGTGTCCAGGTAAGAAGAGCAAATTAAACACACCGATGTACTAGTCACGGCCTTCCAACTTCCGTGGTATGGCACTACACTCTAGCGGACTGGAAAGAGGAACTCCTCGCACATATTCCTTAATTTTCGAAATGTGGAACATGGAGTGGGAGTGCAAGTCCCTGTTCCAGTTCATATCCTCATCAGGTAGTAGATGTAGTCCGGTTAGAGGTAAAGGGAGTTGACCGGTATCCAGATTTCCTTTCGAAGAACATCAATTGCCGTCATTTGGCATTCTGCCCTTCATTCTATCAGCTGTTTCTCCAGTTGGACGTCTACAAGTGTTCCACTATTATCGACGTACTTCTAAGCTCTATGGCCTTCAGACAGGCTCTCACTTCGTTTGGATCTGTGTTATGCTATCACATTCATAGTCCTTCTGCAAAACAGAGTACATCTGGATATTCGCATACTGTTAGGGTGAGACCAAATGTTGCCTTAACTTGGCCTTCAACCTAAATGTGCTTGCCAACTCTGCATAACGCTATCGACGGATGGCAACGAGTTGTAGAGAAAAGTACAGAGTGCTTGCTATTTACAATAAATTTGTGCACCCATGGTTGTTAGTTGCATAGGAAAGTGGGATTCTAGCACGCGAATGAGGCTTTCAACAGCATCTAATGTCGGTCTTACCACTACCTCGGGTTTTACGGCTAATTATCCGACACCTCTCAAAAATTCAATAGCTTTGACTTAGCGGTCCATTCATTAGGGAACGATGTATCGAAGATCGCCTTACCTTCATATTAGGCTTGGCAACTAGGCCCATTAATCTCATCCACTACGTTTGGGTTCTACGCGAGGCATGACCTTGAGGGCTACGTGCAGGCTCGATCGCTCGACTTTTTGTCTGTTTCTATTTATGCGTCTCAATAACAACCTGTCATGCTCAGAGCTGGTAGGTAATATCAATTTTTACTAATTGCATCGTTAACGAAGTGTCATTCATCCGTAGTGTGGCAGCCTGCATCCTTAGCGCAAAAACTGAAATCCGATGGTCAGGATAATTTCAGTCACGGCGCCCTCAGTGAGCCAACTGTCCGCTGGCCACAAGCGGACTTCTCGTTTGTTTACTCAACTACCATTGTGAAACCTTTTTGATTCCATTCACAAAGCACTCGAGCAAGCCAAGGGACGCGGTCCATTGTTCAGGACATGTTCACTGCTAGGACTGTATTTTTCCGGAACTGTGCTGGCTTCACCTAACCTTCATATCTCAGGCTTTGGAGTTTGGAGTCAGTTCGCGATCAAACATTTGCTTCCACCTCCTTATTGTCCGATATTTGTGAGCACCTAGACGAGCGCATTGCTTGAGTAAGGAAGTGATATGGCCATTTGAGTCCAGCGGACAGCTGACTCACTAAGGGTGCGGGGGATGTAACTTTCGTGAATTTCGGAGGAAAGCCATTGCGTTATGGATGCAGTCAAGTGAGAAATGGCATAGTAGATTTGCATGTTTGCTTAGTGCTTTCTAAATGTAGTCTTATTACTAATTTCAGAAATCACTTATCCTGTTACACTGCTTGCATTCTGCGCTGTGTATATTTACCATCCCGAGCATACAAGGTTTACCTGAGAACTTCGTTTAATTAGCACATAAAATAAAGGAACCAAGATTTACAAACAAAATATCTTCACTTGTATTCAAAGTAATCACCATTAGCTATTACGCACTTCTGACATCGATGATACAACTGCTTGAAACTGTCAACAAACGCGTCTTGTGAAATGGCTCGAAATACCGTGGTCACGAGTTGTTGGATATCCGCAATTTCTGTAAATTCTAAGCTTTTCAGAGTCATTTTAAAACCGGGTGACACAACGGAGTTTACTGGCGCTAAATCTAGAGAATAATCAGAGCACTGAACAACATCCACCTTGAGATGAGCGAAAAACTTGCTAACGCAGATGGTAGTATGCGGACATTTGCATACGAGTTTGCTTCTACTCGTCCGTCAGCGTGTTCGTCATAAGCCGTGAACAAATGTGCTTTCTTAATGTTCGTGAGCAATACTGCTTACAATGACTGACTGATTCGACTCCTGCTGACATTCAACAAGACTGCTGCCAATCATTCACAATCACCCGTCGCCCGCGGTCGAAGGTTTTTGGGATTACGACTGTTGACGGTTGACTCGAACGCGGCTCACCCTTGACACCTTCTTTGCCCGCTCTAAACCGTTTGTGCCACTCAAGCGTACACCATTTATTCACCGTTGCAACATGGTACAGCTGTAATAACAATTCAAGAGTTACTGTCGCCGTTCTGACTAATTTGAAGCAAAATTTCATGTAAAACCGCTGCTATATTTTGCGCTTTATTTTTCAATGACACATGTTCTAACACTAACTACGTTCGCAACAGTGCTTCACTTCGGTGTTTTGCACTATAGGAGGGCTTGTTGGCATGTTTTTCATCGCGTATACATGGGCTTCCATCCTAACTAGTGCGGTATTTAATAGGTGGACAACACATCGCACTTCTCAGACGCAGCTTGCACAATACTTTAGTCAGTGGTAAACGTTATAGCAACATTTGTGGAAGCTAACACGTCGATGGAAGGTTTCACTACAGAAAAGCGTAACTTTCGGGGGGAGATGAGTGAAACCCAAACCTTTTGAAGTTTTTCAGGCTGATGAATAGCGGAAAGAATGAGGAAACACTGATGCGGCAATTGCAGGGACGTGGCCTCCTGTTCGTGAAGTTTGTACCCACCAACTTCGGTTTGAAAGCTTGATGTTAGCTTAAGACACGCTGAAATATAGGCTTCCGTGAAGAACTTAAACCTGTAATTTAAAATGGAGTGATGGGCGCACTCTATTTACGTATTCTGCGGCGGTACTTGACAGCGAATAGCCTACTAAAAATGTTTCTCTTCGCTCCCAAGTTGTCAGTCATGCAGCACAGGTGTGGTAGCAACGGTAAAATTAGCTCGGTATCATTATATCAATTCTGGCGCCGTAGGCACTAATTTGCCATACTAAAAGCAGAACTTGATCTCCACATGAAGTCAGTTGGTGATTCATTGGGGCGCGTAATAGTCACCCCAGAGGAATCATCAATTTTGGTGGGCCGCAGGCGGATGCGATTTGCTCAGTGTGTGCGGCTTCTCCGTTGCCTTGGGGATAGAAACGCAGCCTTCTAACTACTCCGCACACACGAATGCAAGTAAAACGGGGAATTTGTTGACGATGATTTGTTACGATTAATTGAAATGATGGAACGGTTTACCTCCGTTCATTCCAAGCAACTAATGCTTCTCGACACCCATTCTACAGTCTAGATAACCTCATTGTCATGGCTCAAAGAGAAGTCCTCTTACGCATAAGGAATGAGCGCTTGCGATTGGCAAGATGGATTCTCAAGGATGAATTAGTAAGATTGTCCAGTACTTGTCTTTGCTGCTCGTTACCAACAAAAACCGGAAGGTAAGGAGCGAATTCTGTGATGACAATCGACTTGGTAAAATTGTGCTTGCGCTTGTAAAATCCAGAAAGAATCCGTGAAATTTGTCTTTGCAAACAAATGCAAGCAATAAGGTTACGCATTCATACATAATAAGCGACCAACATTGGGCCTCGCAGTGTTATAGGCTTACATGAAAAAGGAACCAACGATGTCTGCAACGAGTGAAAGTCATGAGATCTTACTCGTATTACCATGTTACTCTGACGTTGCTCGTTACAACGCGATCTAAAACAGTCTGGAAACCAGCTGCTTTCGACTGTTGTAGTAATAACTTGCTACTAGTAAGCACCTCCAGGATCATCGCATAAAATCATTGTAGATTACTAAGGTAAACGTACTGTTAAAACAAAAGGTGGGAAAACTTGAATTTCACACCTTCAGTGGTGATTAACAGAAGAGGATAGGGGCGATAAATGCCTGAAAAATACGTTCTTCATTTTGGACAGGCTGACGTGTGGCTCAGCGGTCATCGTAATTCTCGCAGATTCGGTGTTTTGTTGGTGACCAACTCACCGTTTATACGTTGGATGCATAGGATTGGGTGATCCTTCTGGTTATGCCTGAAATAAAGATTGAAAACATTTACTTGTTATGCCTTAACCCTAGGACTATGGTAACATTAAAGTTACCTTCAGCTGGAGGCAAATAGCAGCGCAATGTGTATCTTCTTGTCAAAGCGTTAGACAAAAAATCACCTCTTTGGCCAGAGAGATTGAGACTGTATTTAAGAGCAATAGAAAGATCGCTGTACAACTCTATCGAATTATGAAAAATCAAAAACATTTAATTGCGAATCGTTAACCGCAGTGTTTTGACACTTAATCGTTTATCTTTGACAGGTTAAGAATTTGCATTGGTGTCATTATTTCTCGGCATAGGATGTACTTTTTTCCATTGTTCGTGAACCTTTTCACAAAGCACAGATTTCCTATATAATCGTCGACACGGGTTTTAAAACACTTCACAGTATCGGCTTCTATTAACCCTTCTGTTTTTGTATTCCATACTTTTACGATTCTTCGTACTACACAAAGCTGATATGATACTTTGTTCATGCAGGGGACCCTGATTTTGTAACGGTGTCCTCGGGGTTACAGGATTGACGCAGGTAATATATTAGCCGCAGTATGGGAAGCGATTCAAGTGTATACTCGATGGGTTAGAATAAGGTCAATTATTGCTCGGCGGTAGGACAGTGCGTAGAGTCCGAGCATTTCACAACGTTTTCCATACGGAAGCTTTCGTAGAATCGATATCATCCTAGTTGTGATTTGCTGTATTTTCTCCAGCTTTTCAGTTTTCCACTGGGCTATCGGATGGTAAGCTGGGACGCCGTATACAACTATTATTCTAATGAGCGAGGTGAATAGATGAGGGACGGTTTCTTCGGACCACGTGGGGAAACTGCGTCTTACTATCCAGAGCATATGAAGTCCCGCAAGGTACAATTTCTCTGTATTTTCTAGTGATCTCATATCATGTCACGAGCGTACTCATAAGTGGCTGAAAGATGTGTTAGGGTGGAGCAACTGGCCGTCCAAAGTGTATGTCGTGTGGCTGGGCGTCCGGTGATATTGATGAACTCCGACTTGCTTGCGTTAAGAGGGAGTTGCATTTCAGTGGACCACGTTGACAGTCGCTCTAAGTCATGCGGAAAGCTAGCGCAGTAGTCCTGGTTCTCAAGGATCCCTCAAATGTTCAAATCATCGTCAACCAGGGCACATGGTTACTGGATCTGCTGCGGGAGGCCGTTGCTATGGATAAGAAAAAATACTGGCCTATTTACAGTTCCTTGAGGCACGCCCCTGGTTGATGGGAGCCAGGCTGCCAGGTAGTTATTGATCTGTACCCTAAAATTTTTGTCCAACACTAAACTTGTATAGTCATTAAAGTAGCGTGCAACCGATTTCGTAGGTCCTCAGTTGACGATGGAGGATCTTGTGGATCACTCTGCCAAACGCCATACTAAAATCGATGTACACCACGTCAACATCCTTCCGTTCGTTGAGATCTGGTACCTACTGGTGGTTTGCGTACATCAAGTTGGTGATGCAGGATCGCCCTTTCGTAAAGCCGCGTTGCGCTGGCGACAGTAAGTCCATCGATGCGAACAACGACAGCAGTCAATTTTTCACAAATTTCTTGAGTACTTTGGATAATACCAAAGTCAAACAGATTGGTCTATTGTTCTAAAATTTACTTGGATCACACCCCTAGGGAAACGTTCTCACTATTATACATTTCCTGTCGTTGGGACAGATCCTTCAGATAGTGATTTCGTGAATAATTTTGTCACGGCTGGTGAGACGACATTCGATAGGGACTTGAGTATCAGTGGGTAAAGTCCGTCAAGTCCGGGGTTTTTTGCACCATCGAGGTCGACAAGTGGCAGAAACACTTCGACGTGGAAAATGTTTTGCTCTCCGCAAGCGCGCTAAAACACGAATCCTGTGCGATACGTATCTATCCTGATGTCCTTTGGAGCGCGCTACAACCAAAACGAAACACCGAAGAGGGGCACAGCAAACAAGACCGCCTAAACACAATCTTCATACATGGCGTGCCAGAACATCCTTCTAACCATGTTCAAGATACCGGAAAGCACGATTTAGAACAGTGGCGGTTCATTCGTGAAACACTTTCTTTGGATGATGTTGTGGCACTATCGCTCACCAGGATACCCCTCTCATCGAATTATAGAGGATGCGGCCCTAGAATCCTAAAACTTGTGGTTCAGTCAGAGCAACAAGCAAAGGATGTTTTGGATCGATGGCGGAGAAATCGGAAACATCTTCTTCCGAAATTCGGTTAAAGGTCGCAAACAATTCGCACAGCTCAAGTATTAGAGCAACTGAAGCAGTAAGCATACTGACGAATGTACAGAAGTGTAACTTGACTGCTGCTTTAATTGACTATGAAGTAGGTCTAAACGAAGGCTGGGACGCACCTTGGCCGAATCAAGTTGCAAACGAGGTATCATTGACCCATCAAAAAAACGAATAACTGCCGACCTCCCATCGGTCGGCATTCTCCCTCACTTGACAGCTTCACCTCTCTGCGGGCTCCTAGAGACCAAGAAACTGGCCTACTTGTATACAAATGCTCAGGGACTTTCTAACAACCTGGCTGAACTGAAAGATCGCCAAGCTTCCGGCTCGTATGATGTCATTGGTATCACCGAGACATGGTTGCACACGGGAATGACGGACGCTGAAGTGTCGCTACCCGGCATGTCGCTGATCCGGAAAGATAGGCTCACAAAAGGAGGAGGGGTAATCCTGTACTACCGAAACGACTTACAGTGCGAAGCCGTGGAGGATTCAGATTCGCAGTTCCCCGACTCTCTTTGGTGCCGGTTGCAGTTAAAAGGCAGGGACGCTTGCCTTATTATCCTGGTGTACCGCGCCCCTAACTCAACATCCGAAACCGACTACCACCTAATGGCTGCTTTAAGGTGCAGTTTACAACAAAAGTACACTCACATTCTTATCATGGGTGATTTCAACGTACATTGTTTAGAAGCCCCTGCCACAACCGGCGAACAATTCAAAACCGATGTACAAGATCTAGTAACTACTGTTCCTCTTTACAACCACCTCACTTTGCCCACTCGGTTCAGAACTGGTAACAGGCCATCTGTGCTGGATATTGTGCTTACCAACGAGGAGCATATGATTGATGCGTTGGTTTTAGACTGCCCGTTTGGTCGCAGTGATCACGCAGTCATCAGTTTCAACTTCGTCTGCTATGCAGAATATCGGAATGATAACGATGATGCTGTGCGAACCATCACCAGGTACGACCGACTCGCCCAGCTAGTCAGCGCCACAACATGGTCTTTCCTCGAAGAAGAACCCCCGGAAGTCGCCTGGCTCGAGTTCGTCAAAACATTCAGTCAGATGATTGCACAGGCTTCAGAGATAAAAGCTTGCAATAAGTGCAAATCCGTTTCTTTCGTTAGGAGCAGAACCCGAAAATGGATGAGAGTGCGCAACGCAGCATGGCGAGTGTACAGAGAAGCTCCAGCACCAGAAACGTGGGACAACTACGTAGCCCAACGTAACCACTGCACTCAACTGTTAAGAGAAGACAAAGCCGCCTATCAGCAGAACATGGCAAAAACCTTCAGTGCTAACCACAAACTGCTGTACAAGCACGTTAATAGCCTACGAAAGGTGAGGCAAGGATTTCCTCCACTCAAGACGGCTGAGGGCCCAACAAGAACGTCTATGGAAGCTGCAAACGCGCTGCAGATGCAATACGCCCCCACGTTTCAAAGGGTCTTGCCACCAAGCGATCTACCAAGCTTTGTATTCTGCTCACCAGGACTAACCCACATCAATTTTACCGCAGAGGCTGTATTACAAAAGCTGACTTCTCTACGCAAACACAGCTCGCCGGGTGTCGACGCCATTCGTCCTGAGGCATTGGGAGTAGCAGCAAACCAACTGGCAGGACATTTAGCTCAGTTTTTTCAGCACTGCTTAGTCTGGAACCAAGTTCCTGCCATGTGGAAGCTTGGAATAATAAGCCCGATTCACAAAGGTGGAAGCAGATCTGATCACTCCAACTACCGCCCAGTAACCCTTCTTCCTACACTCTCCAAGGTCATGGAATCCATAGTTGCCGATGCATTGGTGTGCTATCTGGAAAACTGCAACCTCATCACTCCTGAACAGCACGGTTTCCGTCGACAGCGGTCATGTACAACTAATTTACTAATTGCACGCAGTAGTTGGACCGAGGCAGCCGACGCTGGAGAAGGTGTTGATGTGATCTACCTGGATTTTTCCAAGGCTTTCGATCGTCTAGACCATCGGATACTTCTATCCAAGCTGCAGCATTACGGGATCGGCGACCCTCTTTTAAGCTAGATCGCCAACTTTCTATTTCAACGGCAATTAGTGGTCAGAGTTCGGAGCTCTTTATCGGACCCCATACAAGTCGAGTGTGGTGTGCCGCAAGGCTCAGTTCTAGGTCCACGTTTGTTTCTGGTGTTTATTAATGACCTTGCACAGGGAATCGCTTCAAACTTCCTAATGTTTGCCGACGATATCAAGATCTGGCGCAGGATCCAGGCGAACGCCTACCAACATGTGCTTCAAAGTGACTTAGATACAGTGTATCAATGGTCGATCCAAAACTTATTGCATTTCAACGTCAGTAAATGCAAGGTGCTTTCCATCCGACATCAAAGCAGCTACTCATACCGACTCGGAACGGATGTACTACAACAATCAACTCTCGAACGGGACTTGTGTGTCCTGGTTCAAGATGACTTGGGTTGCTCCAGGCAATCCGAAAAGGCCTCGAAGACCGGGAACCAACACGTTGGGTTGTTGAGGCGGGCGTTTGGACAAATAAACAGCTCCATATTTCGACAAATGCTCAGTGCGTATGTTCGCCCCCATGTCGAATATGCAATTCAAGCCTGGCATCCATGGCTGAAACACGACCTTAATGCACTGGAGCAGCCACAACGCCGGGCATCTAAGAACATAATTGGAATGCGCAATCTGTCCTTCCAGGAGAGGCTGCGACGACTGGGATTGTTCAGTGG